ATTATATTATGATCTATTTGATTATGCTCCAAATACCAAACAAACATGGAAAAAACTAAAATCACCTCTCATTTCCTCTGAAGAGACAATAAAAATATGTAAGAACTGGTACCTGGTACCTTAGGGCTTGTATGTTCAGGTTGACTATAAAGGTCTCCTGTTGCCCTCTCTAAACCCCCAGTGGCCTGGAATAAACACCAGCTGTTGGATCACACGGCAGGAGAAGCTTCGATGTTAGTAAACAGCACACGCGCCGGAGAGCACAGGCTGAATTCTAGGCTCCCCGTCTCAAACCAAACTCAGCTCCCGTCTCCCTGCACTTTGCTACCATCATCTCTCACCTGGAAATCTCATGTCCCATCCAATCTCCACAGTACACTAATTTACTCTTCTTTAATATCTTAATTTTATTTTTATTAATATTAATAGCAGTGTCTCACCATGTTGCCCACAGTGGCCTTGAACTCCTGGGTTCAAGTGATCCTCCTGCCTCAGCCTCCCGCGTAGCTGAGACTACAGACATGGGCCACCACACCCAGATTACACCAACTTACTTGGAAAATAAAAATCTGGTATCTTCACTCCCCTGCTTGAAACCTTTCAATGCAATGGCTCCCACTGTCTTAGGGTGAAGTTCATCCACCTTCTGTGTTGATTGTAGATGCCCAATCTTGCCAGGTGCTCGCTATGTCACTCCTTCTGCCTGACCTCCCCCATCCTGATCCATACCAGAAATCCCAACCTGAGCCACTCCTGGCCAGCATGCAGATCCCAGCCTGAGATAACAAGTCCTCCAGAGCCCTTCTCTGAGGCCATTGTGAGGTACCTTGTGCCTCTCATAAAAAGCTCCAAATATGACCTATCACGGAATATGGAAACTGTCCATCCCCTCATCTACACACCCTCAGCGGGACTGGAGACTGCACAGGCCAGGGAATGGCCTGCCATGTTGGACATTTTGGTCCCAGCTGTCCATATAGTCACTGGCCTAGAGGAAAGTACTCAACAAAAAGTATGAATCGGCCCTTCAATTAACAACCAAAGATAAAACTATGTAACTAAACGTTATAAGGGTCTAGCTGAGTACGTGTCATTACTCCCTTAAGACTGAAGTCACAGAAATACACACAATAATACAATTGCATGGGGAAAATTTTCTTGAAAATATCAATTTGTGTTTGTTGAAATTCTTTAAAATCCCAAAAAGGATAAAATTCAGATTACTACTTTTTTTCCTCCTGCCCCCATACATATTAACATATATAACTATTTTAAAGGGTAGGGGGAGTCATACGCAACTATGTAAAAGGTGCTAAACAATTTGATAGTCTGATCCTAGAAATCCGATACAATTGTGAGTTAAGAACAAGAATTTCTTAAGGAAACAGAACTATAGCCTTATTTAAAAGAAATACAATATTTAAGCAAGTCTTTATGCTGTATCTTGTTCTAAAATGAAGTTAAGCCAGATTACAAAAATACATACGATTAAATGAAATTTTAAGTAAGTAAAGCGATCTCAATAGGAAAAAAACAGGAGTAGAAGATAAATCTATAAGCGAGGTTAGGATGTAAAATATTTACTTCATGGTCCTACATATTGGCACGAGAAGGGTCCAAGGTGTGGCTGTACCTTTGCTGGTGGTCTGTCCCCCAACTGGGCCATGTGAACTCTAACGGCCCTGCATCACCGCCCTCATACACTGCACCTTTGCATCCCTACACGTGGTATTTCCCAGGTTTTCTCTCAGTATCATCTTCCTTTTGATTGATACTTTTAAAGTCTCGTGTTTACCATTTTTATTATTCTTCAACTTTTCTATTTGAAAATTAAAAAACACATATATCCTCAGCTAACACCCTACAGGACCATCACATTTCCTTTCCAGTGACAAGCTCACTTTCTACAGCATTCCCGCCAGGGCGTGGCTCACTGTCCCAGGGTGGCATGCCGGGCCTGCCGCACTGCCAAGCTGCCCCTTCTTAAGTATATTCTACATTAGACCAAAGAGTTACATACATTGAAAACTGCGTGGTGATTTTCAACCGCTTTTTTTTTTTTTTTTTTAACATGAAATAAGATGATGACAACGAAAATTCTGTGCTGGAATGAAATCAAGTTGTGTGTTCACCCAGTTCTAAATCACACACTAAAACAGCTTCGACTGCAGGCAAAAGAGCATAAAACCAAAGCACATTTTGATTCACTCTAAAACTAAATCTTTTCAAACAAATTTCTTTCGCTCTACCAAGATTTATGTACAAAAGCTGAAGGCTTCTCTCCTGCGATCTTAAATAGATGCACTTGGAATACAGTTAAGCGGTTTGCTCCAGCTCCTTAAAGCTGCAATCCCATGAGCCTGCCTCCTGGAGGCATTGCAGACTTTACATATTTGAAAACTAATAGAATGGGTCAGTCAAAGGACACACTTGAGGTCCGCATCTGTTAAAAGTTGGAGGTGGGAGAAACTATTAAGAAATTGAGAATGTTCTAGAGGTATGTAATAAAACTAGTTTTAAAAATACATTTTATAGTAATTACCGAAAAATATTCGGAATAGTATTAATACATGTGTTATTGTGCTATCTAAATACTAGCAGCATGAGTTTGTTTCACTGTTTTTATGAAACCAGGTATCAGTATCATAGTATGCTAGTCGACCACTTATTATCGACACATACTTTGAAAAACAGCCTAAGCTTAAAGTTCAAGCCAGTGTAACTAAGAATTGTTTTATACATTAGTTTTATTCTTTTAATAGAAATAACAACCATCTCTGCAGTTTTTTTCTGGTCCTTCACATGCTATGATAATTAACTTTTTCCTCAATATTTAATAATGCCTGCCTAACCTATGTAATTGTCAAAGAACTTAGATCTTCACTATTTTATTTGAAACTCACAAACAACCTTGTCAACAGGTATCATAACTTTCATTTTATATGTAAGGACACGAGATAGTAGCTACATTATAAATAAATACAAACTTGCATCCGTTGTTTGGGGCATGCTTATTTAATGAGTAGGGATGGTGGTTCCACTTCAAGTACATTTTATTCCTTCTTTTAAAAGATCAACTCAATCTAAAACAAAGTCACAGCTATTCAACTTCCACACATCCAAAATAAGGATATTTTTATGGTTGCCCCACTGAGTCAGAAACTTCATCAGTTATAATCCCAAAACCATTTCTAATAACCTCCAAGATGGCAACTAAAGTACCTAAACTTATTCAGAGCACAAGGATACCTTGGCAATTATACTGTTATGAAAAAAATTAGGAAATGAACAACTAAAATGTTGTAGTCTTTAAATATATTGCTAGGGAAATGTCACATATCAACACTTTCACTTAAGAATTGTCACTACTTGAAGCACACAAATTTCAGTAAATTTGATAAGAAAAAATTATATAAGAATTCTCCTGTCTGTGAAGCAACGGCAACTCAGAAGGTGCTCATTTTCAAATACCATACATCATTTAAAAGCCTCTTATGACAAACAACCATAACAAATTGAGGTGAATTAAACATAGGTCTGGATATTGATGAGGCATAAGTTTCTACCTCCTACAGACTCAAGTAAGACTCTAAATTTCTTTCAGCTTGAGTTAGATGAGAGAAAATGCAATTCATATTTCCAGAAGCAAGAGTGGCATATTTTCCAGTAAGCTTCTTGTTCTCATTTTACTATTTTAAGACTTCTGATCACTCCCAGTGCTGCTGTATGGCAAGACCTGATTTCTGCTGGGTGATCATTTTCACGGCATGATGCTTTACTAAAACTGTCTCCAAAAACTGTTTTTATTCGTATTTAGCTTCAGTGTATTTATATACAAAATACCATTTCAATGGAATTGTGCCAATAAAAGAAACAACTTACTAGAATTTCAGTTGACTTTGTTAAAGGAAATTATTTTAAATTAACGTGGCTACTGAACTTCTGCCATCCTTGACCTCAGAAAATATATTCCTTCTAATTTTTGCTGTGAACGTTTATTTAAGTTAAATTCCAGCTCATGAATGTTGACCATAAAGCAGTCTAAACTTTCCTGCTGCTATTTCATATTCTTTTTCTAAACAAGGGCGACCACATGGTTGCTACATTAGTATGCACAGCCAGATCACCACCATTAAGTGAAATCATCTATGTATTTTTGGTAGAATCTTTAACAACTTCCATACCCGTCAGTGAAATGGAACAAGGCTGTTTTGTTTTCAGACAGCAACAATTTGATCTCTGGTTTACTAGATGGGGCTCAAAATATTTTTCCATATGTTTTTTCGCAAAGAGAATCTGACATCAGCGTGGTTTACCTTTACCAGTGAATGCAGGCATTTTTCACCAAACATATCCCAGAGGAAGGTCAGGTCTTCCTGGCTATCTACATGTGGCTGCAGCTGGGCTGGCAGAGCAGTCAACAGCTCATACAGACCTATAAAATGAAAATAAAACACAGAGCGTAATCTTAGAGTGATCTCATTAATTTCACTGAAGGTGTGTGTAAATGACAGCTGGAACATGTCGTTTTTACTGGGTCTGTATTCTGGGCCATCAAGCAAAACACTTCTCCAAAAAAGCAAAGGAAG